GAGGTAGACACAGCATGAATTGCGTCTGATGTGGTTTTGATAAGAATCACCCTTCTTGTTACTGCAGACCTAATTCTTTTAACACCCAGAACTCACTTTCTTCTATAGGTTTGAAGGTTCTGATAACATCACATTCACACATAATCACACCTCACATTCCATCCACTTAGATCCAGCCATCACATAAAGTGTTCCCTAGTTGTCATGTTTTTAATTGTTTAGAAAATACATTTCTTGCCTTTTATAAACCTGACTTTGTCTGAATTAATACGAAGTAAGTTTGATCCCTGAAAATGCAAAGAATCCTACAATCTTCTGATTAAACATCCAAAGACCAAGCAGGTTGATATTCTATATTTATATAGAGTATCACATCTTGTTGGTCATAAGTAAAGGTAACACATTAAGCTGTAAATGTCAATACATTTTTAACAACTGTGCACACATCAGTTCTGCGCTTCCTTGCTGTTTTTAAACTTGGAAAGCATTATCTTATGTCTGAAGGATGTTGTCACGTTGATAAGAATAGAACAAGAAGTAGAGGACTGCCGGAAAAATAACGGTAGAAGGCATTGTGGGGGGTGTTAACCACTTTCAAGGAGGTGAGATCATGCTTTTATAAAAAGGGGGTGTGAGGCTGGATTTATAAGGAGCATGACTGAATCCTGTAAATTAGTGCTGTTACTTCACATGAGCCTGAACATTCCTTGTAAAGCATCAATGACTGGGCGTATCCTGTACAGACTCAGACTCTGACTGGCCAGAACCTGACTGTGCGTTCAGCAGTTCGTAGAAGATTGTGCTCACTGGAGAAATATATAATAAGAATTGTTTTACTGTAAATTTTGTTTAATTGCATGAAATGAAATAAAAAATGGAAATGGAAAATATAGGCCTAGCACTCAGGGAAGGAATTATTATCACCCACTTCCTTTCATGACAGAGTCAGAATCATCCTATCTTGACATTATGCAGTTACAGCAAATAATGGCAAAACCGTGTTGCACTTTATCTCATGCAATATTCCAGAATCTTGCACAATCACGTTGCAGTCAGCTTAATTGACTTCAAACAGCCTCATCTATGTTAAATTGATTGAGTTGGAGCACATTTTTGTTTCCTACGAGTTGGCTGTAACGGCCATCTTGAATTTGACTTGGATGTGCATTTATTGAAAATTCTCTTAGAGTTTTTTTTTACTTTGTCCAGGTCATGAGGTATTTTGCTAACAGCAAACTCCTGCAATTAAAGGGATTCTTTGCAACATTTTCATATTTTTAAATCATTTTCTGGAGCCAGCATGTGCTGAAATGGCCCTTTACAGGTTCTCTCAGGCACTCCGTTCAGGAGACCTGTCCTCGCTCAAGGTCTCCAGGTCACGGCTGAAGATGCGTGGTGACAGAGCTTTTTCAGTGGAAGCGCCAAAACCCTGGAATGAGCTTCCACTGTCATGGTCTGCGTCTGCCCCTTTCTTCATGTGCCTCCTGGTGTCCTCTGTCCTTCTCTAGATTCCCTTTTGTGTCTCTTACCGCCCTCATGTGTTTTTTTTTCTCTGCATTTCAGTTAGGTGTCTTATGTTGTAGGCTTTAAAGTCAGGTGTATGTGTTTGTGTGAGTCCTTCCTTCAGTTTTAGGTTTAGTTTTGGGTTTGAGGTTATCTGCCCTCCATTGGTTCTGTTTCCCCCATTTAGATAATTGGTGTCACCTGCCTTCCCTCCAGCCCTCACGCCACACACCTGTTTCCTTAATTGTTCTCCCTGTGTATTCAAGCCCTGTCTTGTCTCTGTTTGGTGTTGGTCCATTGTTTGTTGTTTGTGTCAGCATTGCTTGTGCTCTGTGTGAGCTTTCGGCCTTGCTTCTAGGTTTGTGCTCTGTGTGAGCTTTCGGCCTTGCTTCTAGGTTTGTGCTCTGTGTGAGCTTTCGGCCTTGCTTCTAGGTTTGTGCTCTGTGTGAGCTTTCGGCCTTGCTACTAGGTTTGTTCTCTGTGTGAGCTTTCGGCCTTGCTACTAGGTTTGTTCTCTGTGTGAGCTTTCGGCCTTGCTTCTAGGTTTGTGCTCTGTGTGAGCTTTCGGCTTTGCTTCTAAGTTTGTGCTCTGTGTGAGCTTTTGTTCTCCTGATACTCAAGACTCTGTTTTTTTGGCTCGCTGCCTTGGATTTATTTTTGCTCTCCTAAATGAAAGGATTTTTATTTTTAAACACTCCTGCCTCGTGTCATCTGGGATATCTGCATCTCGGGTCCCAACAACCTCCTCCTTGCTCTCAACGTGCCATCCACTACATATTCGGGCATCCTCTTCTGTTACAGTTTTAAATCTAAGCTGAAGACCCATTTTTAACTCTGTGGGGAGATTCATAGTGCTGCTATTTTTCTCTCATTTTGCGGTTTTATTTTCTTGACTAGTTTTATTGATTTTATTGTAAATTTAATGTGTTCTATTTCATCTGTGTCTGTGAAGAACTGTGGTGGCATGCTTTTGTCTGTTAAGCGCTAAATAAATAGTCAAGTCGAGTCGAGTTAATGAAAGGCCGCCCAGACCCTATCGCCCCCTGTGGCCAGAATATCCCACTTGCAACTTCCTACCTGACGGGTCGCTCTGAGGATGGAAAAACAATGGTTTCAGCACATTTCCCGCATGCTTTAGATCATGAACACAGCTGGTTTGTTTAATTTGGTGATGAATCACTCCTAAGGAAGGCTGGCAGGTGTGTAAACTGTTAGATTAAGGTGTTAAAAGGACAAACGCACAGCGAGGAGAGACTTTGCTTTCGATTCTACAAACGGACACTAAGTGGCGCTAAAAGCAAGCCAAAACTGCCTGGTTGCCAAAGTTTGGAACAAAGATCTTCTGCCATCAGCTACAGGCACTTGTTGTATTCTCTGAGGTCTAGACAGAAGGTATGTGACCTGGTCTGAACTGCACTGATCACTCTGCATGTCTGTTGGGAGAACAGAGACAACCACTTATCTGGTAGAGACAGGAGAAGATATGAGCAAACTCACAAAGCCGGGACAAAAAGTAAAACATCAGGCTGGGTTGATGGAGACTACAAGTTAATTTTATTCCAAACAGTTCAGCTGTATCCAGTTTGACTGGTTGGTGATGTTTTCCTGCTGCTGAATGTGTCAACACGGCATAACGTGGTCCAGGAGACACAGCAGGGACAAAAACAAAGACATGTGTTTGGACAGGTGTTTATACGTCTGACTTTCCGTCTGTCTGAGAACAGTTTGCGTTAACACAGCAGCTTCGCTAACTCAGCCACAGAGCTGAACTGTTGTAGGGCTGTCGTCACGGTGACAAGGTGAAAAGGGGAGCAATCCGAGTCGTGTGGTTACAGCTGTTCTGGGATCCCTCTAATTGCATCAAATTAAACATACTTTGATTTCTGTTTCGGAAACGTGTTCTTTTGTCTACCTGAGCTTGTGCCTGGCTGGTGGCCAAAGGAGTGGCAGTTAGTGATCAGTCAGTGACACCAAGCTGCTCTAAAAAATGTAACAAAAGGTGAATCCACCAACAGAAGCCCATATCAGATATACAAACTGTTCCAGCCCTATCCGACGTCCTTTTGTTCATGCGTTCCAATGCTCTACAGTTTTCAGCAGCAGAAAATGTGCTGAAACAGGATAGCGATGAGTTCTCGCTGTAACATATCTATGCTTTACATTTCTGCCTCTCTGTCATCTACAGCTCCATCGTATTGTGTCCTGTGGCACATCCTGCAAATGCTGGAACATCCTGCATGGAGTCAGGATGCACATCTCTAAACTGACTTCACATCCTGCCACTGAATCTCAGATGCAAAGACAACAATAGGCTTTCCTTCAGCGTAAGGGCAGAAGTGGAATGACTTCATGCACACCATGTTTCCAGGTTGACATCTAGCATCAACCAGAGCCCAAAGCTGTAAAGAGAACCTGCAGAGTCCTGAATGAGCAGATCATTCATCTTTGTTACTTGTTGCTAAGTTAACTTCCTGTCACACTTCCACTGACCTTTCAGGTTGTGCTGCTTTTCTTTTGTGCTACTAGTTGTGTCGGTCTGTAGTTTGTTGGTTTATGATAGAGACGTGTTGTTGGCAAAGGCCCAAAAAGCAGCTTCTGAACCTGTCATCTGTGCCAAGTTAAAGTCTAACTTCAATACAGTTAAAATGTGGTGTTGTTTACAAGTGTGAGGTGGGGTTTACAAGGCCAGGAGCAAAGTTTGTCCCCTTTTTCTGAATGTGTGTGTGTGTGTGTGTGTGTGTGTGTGTGTGTAGGGGGTGGGGGGTGGAATGTATGTATAAACATACTTTAATTTTTTATTAAAATATGTCCTTGTTCCTGACCATAACATGATATTGTGTTGTTTATGCTCAATGATAACAGAGTACAGAGGATAAAGCAGATCTAAAAATGTCATGTTGACATGCAAATGTCAACCATAAAAGTGCTATTGTGAACTTAACTATATTTAGAAAATGCCGCGAAGAAGAAGAAGAAGAAGAAGAAGAAGAAGAAGAAGAGCACTTTTCAACTAAAACCACGAAGCCTAAGGAAAAACAAACAATAAGCTATTAATTAAACTAAATTATGACGCACATAAAATGCTTTACTTCTCTCACATACACGTTCACAACGTTTTTTTTTCCCATTTGTTTACAAACCTTGAAAACTCTGATCACGGTGGAACTTTGTGATTGGTGGCGCTAACGCGCAGTGACACAAGTTTGTACCCACGAAGAAGACTTTCCACCTTTCCCTTCTTTTCTTCTTCTCCCCGCGCAACAACATAGATCGTCTATACAAAACTAATGTATCACTTTGTCGCTAAACTGTTGATAACAAACCAGCTAAAGCAATACACAAGAAGTCACAGAACCTTGGAATGTAATTGTAATGTAAACTAATTTGTAGGTAAATAAAATGACTAATCCTAAAATTTATTCGACCAATTACGGCACAGCTGAGCAAGGCTAAAGTCACTCTCAGTGAGTTCTAAAGTCTCAAACGAGTGAGACATTATCTTTGTTTACTTGTGTTCCGTCAATCTTCGGTTTTAATCCTCG